CTTTTTATAAAGACCAAAAACCCTAGCATTTATAAAGGTGTTGTAAATATATGATATTCCTCCTAGCTTGTTGAAGTCCAGCATGACTTATGATGAATGTTGACCCAAGGGTTACTAGGGTTGGGTTAGATAATCACTATTTCATTCTATGCACATTTTTCATTCCAAACACTCTTTTCCTGGGGACATAACTAATTGTGTCTTCTCCATATGCACAGTGTCAAGGACACACCTGGCAATTTCAGTTTGTCAACATTTCAGAATTGTTGAGATTTTTTCACCAGAAACTGTGTTATTTACATTTATTTATTTATGAGTGTTGGTAAGTATTACAATTACCCAAAACAGTGATTCTGACATTATGTTGCACAGAATAAATTAATTTTAGTATAAATATATATATATAATATTTCATATTCAGTATTTATTACTCCAGGTTTGTTAAAATTTTAGAAGTCATTGAACCTCTGGTATTTATACTTTGGCAAGAACGTATCATCTGAGAATTTGCAACATATGTAGACACCTCTCACCCCCACCCACCTCTAACTGTCTGTTGTTACATTTTAATAATACAAGCACATTTTTTTATTTAAATATAATTAATGAAAATAAGAAAAAAAAGAACAATATCAAAATTAAATCAAATATTACAAAATTTGCTAACTTACCGATATTCACCAGTCTGACGTTGTCATTTGCAATAGCATTGAGTGCAATGGTAACATTTTCTAACCGTTGATGATGATTCAGTGGGTTTTTAATGATCCGCCCGACTTTTTTACCCTGCAAACCTTCCACAAGTTGACAAAGCTTGACACCTGTTTCAAAATCATTTTCCAGCTCCCTGACGAAATCCGTCGTCTCTACTCCTGCAACTCGGAGCTGTTCGTTCACCCAGTTGGTAAAGGTGTTTTTCTGAATCAGAATCCATCGGTCCGAACTGTCTCGCATACTCATGGCTGCATGGCCCTCCTTAGAGAGAGCCCGAAATGAAGCCATAATGGTATCCTTTGATGTAGCTGATGAACAGGCCTTGCTTCCCTCGGGATAATGATCTCTCGACCCGTATTAAAGTTCCCCTGACAAGTCTATCTGTCAATTCTCCACTACTTGTTGTATCCCCACCTTTTGTGCACGAAATACCTGCACCAGGGTGTGGATTGTTGACCCTTTTCACGATTGAGTTATTTTCTCTCGTTTGGCTTTACATATTTAAATGAATTAATAACAAAACCGGTTTACCTGAGCCGTGCAATTTTTTTCTTTAAATTCTATAGGCTGTCAAACAAGACCGCGAGAATCCCAAAGCTAAATATAACTGTATATTTCGCCATCTACCGGCCAGGTAAGTCATTTTCCATTCAAGAGTCGTCACGGTGGAGTAAATCGATTACAATCTACGACCAATAATTCATATGCATGTGTTTGGATTCAATAAACTACCAATAATTCCCCAGAGAGAGAGAGAGACAGAGAGAGAAAAAAAAGTTTCAGAAAATAGGAATAAAATTTCAATGAAGAAGGGATTTTTTAAAAGCCGAAACACTAAAACACAAAAAGGGGGGGTGTTATTTTTTTAAAAGGCTTTAGCATATAGATCTTCTTTTCCTTAAGTTCCTTGGGAGGGTTAGATTTCCAAGTTTTACTGAACATATAAAATTAATCAATGCAAAAAAAAAAAATAAATAAATAAATAAATAATTTATTAAAAAAATTAAAAATAAAAAACCTCAAGTGATAATATATATGGTTCACGATGAACAGAAACATCTCTATTGTCTATGGTTTTAATATTTCAGTCTTTTTTATCTCTATGAAGAGGGTCCATTCCTTTTCTGGTGAACTGACGGAAATCGTGAATACTTAATATGCCTTTCTTGGTTATGTGAATAATTTTGAATTTACTTAATGAGTAACTTTTCAAACAAAATTTTAATTTTAAAAAATGAGCCAAAAATTATGTAAAGTTTATCATTACAGTCTGATTCTATTTCAAAATATATTTGTCTTACGCAGAGGTTGACGTACCTTCCATAACTAAAATGATGATTATTATTATTTTTTAATGATGCTATATTGATTTTGCAGAATGAGAAAAGTTTAAAAGCGTAGACACGTTGCATTTTTTTCTACAGAAAAATGGGGAGAGGAGGGATAGTTGTCAAGAAAAGAAAAAAAAATCTTTCAAAGTTTTCAGTGACATTAAAAGAAAAATCACCGAAAGTGTCCCAACTCGGAAAATCTTCAAAACTGCAAAAACAAAAAACAAAAAAAAAAACCTGCTAACCTCGAAATCTACTTCGTGGAGAACGGGGGGGGGGGTCCTTCTCTCCTTTTCGACAAAAAGTTGAATCCACTTTTTCAAAAAAGTTATGTCCTTTGATCGCCATCTGGGGGGGGGGGGGGGATCAGAGAATTCTCACTGTGGGAAAATCATGGATTTCTCACAGTGGCCTTTGTAACTTTCAGGTTCAAACATATAGAGACAACACCATATACCGGTAAAGGGCTTCAAATTTAGACCTTTACTCGGCACTCAGGGCCATTGAACAGTGAGGGCTCTTTTCATGCCGACGCCTACCGCAACACGGGACCTCGGTTTTTATAAAGGACTCATCTGAAAGACACGTGACTTTCATTCCTAATGCCAGGCGCTTGGCGAAGGAACAGTCATTACTAGGGCTGCGCAATAATATCGATATTCCGGTATATTGCGATTCGTTAACAAAAAATATCGTATTGCGATACGTTTTTCCAGTACCGGTATACCGGCAAACTGCTTGGGCCTTAGATTTCGTAAATAAAATATGAAATTGAATATGTCAGGAACTTTTCGATCCAAACGGTAAGGTCGCTGTTGCATGGTTGCATTTCGTTCCAAAACTGTATTGAAATCAACAAGAACTGTTTTGTAACACACTGTGCTTATAGATGGAGGTTAATAAAATAGGAAAAATGGCATTTTAACTATCATATTAAATATTGCAATGCATATCGCAATACAGTGAAAAATATCGCAATATATCGCAACACGAAATTTCCAGTCGATACCCAGCCCTAGTCATTTGACGTGATGTAAAGAATTAAGAGAAAACCATTTTGACCTTTTGATTGACCCGGAAAAAGGAAAGAACTTTGCAGGGTTCGAACATGCTGCAACAATAGGGGGATGTATCCAAAAGGTAGATAGAATGTTCTATCGTTAAAATGATATTGTCCTACGGACCCGGTTTAACGATAGAATTCGTTCCGTGTATTCGCAATGTAGCAAAATAAACACGGGCGATAACTCGAACTCTGTGCATTTTCTATGAACAATCCAGAGAGTTCCGAATGTCAACATGGCGTTAAATTTGAAGCGAGGAAAAAACGTTGAGAAAATGAGTTGAATTTTCGTATTTATATGGATTATTTTTTAGGTTAAAAGGCATATACAATCTCAAAAAGGTTTGTTATGATTAATTTGGTAGTTATTTTCAGTGCAACTCCTTTTGTATTCTTCAAAATCATTTCGGAGTGGATCCACTCCGATTTGCTACATTGCAAGGGTGCTAGTCACTGCGCCCCAAAACAAGAACGCCCCATGCATGAGCGCCCCAAACATTTTTACCGGCGCCCAAGTACAAATATGAGCGCCCCAAATTTAAATCACGAGCGCCCCAAACTTAATTCACAAGCGCCCCAAATAAGTATTTCGAGCGCCCCAAGGCTTATTAAGTAAAGAAATAAATTATTGGCTTTTGTTACATTTCGATGTTATAAAAAAATATTGATATGAACAATTCCCGAGCGCCCCAAATTATATATATCATATAATTAGAACCGAGATACAAAATGTGAGAACGTGCTAGATAGTACTTCATGAATTTCGGAACCATATATAGGTTCGTACTGGAACAAGTTTTTAACAATAAAATAATAAAGCAACACGTATTGAACGCTGTTGAATTATTTATAAAAATGGACTTACCACTTTCTTGCAATGAAGACGCTTCATCTCTCAAACGATCCAAAAGAAATGAACAGTCAGTCGACAATTTTTTTTCATCACAATGTGGTAAAAATAATTATGAGATTATAATTGAGCGGGCTCCTTTATGTGGGATAAAGGCGGTGCTCAGACTTTGAAACTATCGTTTTTAATTACACAAATAATTAAAAAGTTAATAATTTAAAAGAATATTACACAAGTGTTCTTTGAAGAAGGAAGATCAAACAAAAGAATATTTTGTACAGTTGTATGCAACTAAACATAAGTCAATTTCAACATAGATTCAAATGAAATATTAAAAAAAAAAAATAAAATATAACCAATGAAGTACTTATGTATAAAATTATCACATAATGAGCACCTGTGTACCTGTGTTAGATCGGACGATATTATTTGGGGCGCTCGAAATGCTAATTTGGGGCGCTCGTGAAGTAAGTTTGGGGCGCTCTTGATTTAAATTTGGGGCGCTCATATTTGTATTTGGGCGCCGGTAAAAATGTTTGGGGCGCTCATGCATGGGGCGTTCTGGTTTTGGGGCGAAATGACAGTAACCCCATTGCAAGTATATGGGACGTATTCTAACTGTGGTGAGGGCTTGTCCCGAGACACAGTTAGATTATTCTAACTATCCAAAAGGGGGAAATCCAACAGTTTCGTTTAACGTTATCATTTCGCAAGTTACAAGGTGAATACAATGACCTTGTCAGCAAAAGGCCTGAGTCAAATGCTGACTGACGTTTTCAATTCGTATACTATACATGTAATTGGTTAGGCCATTATTTAAACAATGGATGTCTGCGGATTCTTCCGTTTGCCCGATCATGACAATGAGCACAAGGCGGATGTGACCGGTCGACAGGGGATGCTTACTCCTCCATGGCACGTGATCCCACCTCTGATGTTTCTGCTAATTTTATCCGGAAAATTGAATTCCTATCATGTACATTTTTAAAACTATCTATCAGCATCTAAGTCAGTAAAGTGCTTTGTTTACAATCACGGGAGGGTCGGGATGAGCTGGTAAATATTCTGACACCTTTCTCTTTGCCCATGGGCTTACTGTTATATTCTGATTTTATTTTAAACGACTCATCTATTTGCAGGAACCCATTTAACCGACACTCGGCAAAAAAGAAGAGTGTAGTTTCACGAACAGTGAGTATCCACGAATACCTAAATAAGCCGTCCTCACAGCTTCCTTTTATAAATAAACGTGTTATACTTTTTTTTCGTTAGACTGAGAGGGAATTTGGAAGAGAAGTGAAGAGAGTCGAAAGGTATATATCCAATATATGCAATGTTTTAAATTATTTTAGAGACAAACTACATAGTCATGATAGGGTTTAAAACAGGTTGGGACCAATCGCCTAAATGGGATATAATAGCAAAAGGAATAAGTTTTTCTTTATGCCAACTGTTTAGGAGGTTGATCCCTTGGAAGTTCTTAAACTTCTTGGGGATCAATCTAACAAGCTGTAGGGTTGCAGAAAAACTTGTTAACCAAAAGTTATCTTGAGGTGGATTTATAATGTTTATGGCCAAAATAAAAATTTTCATTTTTTGCAAGGTAAATTTATATCCAACTTGGGATATTATATCCCAAACGGTCTATTATGTCCCATTGGGGCGATTGGTCCCAACCTGTTCAGTGAAAGTTTCAAACCAACTGCAACTGCATAATATGTTTGACGCTGTGGCTTGTGGGGAGACTCAGAGCGTAGTAAGAATAATCTGTGTCTCAGGACAAGCCCTCAAGATCAGCACAACTGGAACAAGTCCCATGTAAAACAAAGTAGCAAATTGGAGCATTATGCGGATCCTCTCTGGCACAATTTTGAAGAACACAACAGGAGTTGCACTGATAACACCCACCAAATTAATCAGAACTATGTATCTATCAATCTCTCGGTACTATTCGCACTCTAATTGCTGATTAGAGTACTCTGAATAGGGTGTGCAGCTTGTTAAAAGATAAAAGTAGAAGAAAGTTGAAAATTTCAATAGAATGAAATGGGAAGTAGTATTATGTCGCCTAACCTCAAAACGCCATCACTACCCTTGTCGTGCACTGTTTGTAAACAAATGCGATTCAAACCTTTTTGAGCTTGTATATGCTTTCTACTTAGAAAAAAATCACATTTTTAGCTTTTTTTTTTGCTTTAAATTTGCACACCATCTTGACATTGGAACTCTCAGGATTTTTCATAACATTAAGTACGTAGTTTAGAATTATCTACTGATTATTTTGCTACATTACCAATACATGAAATGAATTCTATCATTAAACCAAGTCCATAAGACTGTACAAAATCATTAACATTATTCTAATTAGGGAGAGTGTCGATTCACTCGATTGTATAATATTGGATACAATAAAACTCTCTGTATACTTTTAACTTAAGATACACATCTTCAACTTGCACAATACATTTTAAAAGTTAACGCATGCATACATATATGTCATTGTGATTAGCATTTCCATAACTGAGATTAATTAAAAGTGCAAAATTTTAACAATTGGCATTTTTTCTACTATAACACAGTTTCAATTTAAGTTAGGGTTTCTTTTTAATTTGTAAACTTTTGTCTGGTTATGCCAAGGACATAATTTATGCAGCCATATACAGTTAATGGGGGGTAATTTGCTGCAGGAAAAAAAATCAGTAAACAGCTCAATGTACACACCATCTGAATTTTCTCTCTGCCCAGTGTGCAGTCGCTATTATATTATACTTTCATGTAAATTAGTTGAATCTGATTCGTCAAGAAACATTTGTTGAAAAACACTATTACCCTCTGAATAATGAAGCCATGCGCACCAGCGTAGCAATTTAACAGTCAACATTGCTGACAATGGGTAATATTCGAATTTATTTTTTATTATGCAAGAACAGCTTAAGAATCTGAGATCTAAAAGGACTACATGAACTTGATTAAATATGTGATAGCTAGGGTACTGTAACCTCTATATATGCTGAATTTTCTACTCTACGATTTGGTAGCATATTCACTTGTTTAGGAATGATATTTAATACAAATTTAGAATCTTACTTTGTCCTGCTATATTTGATAAATAAATATTTATGTTTTCCAGCTTAGATGAAACTAGCAAGAAACTATACAAAGATACCAAGAGATGGCTAGAGTCAAACTCAGGTATTTAAAAAAAAAATTACAAGAAATATCACCCTGAATCTTTTTTTAAAAATTAAATTGCAGTTATGTAAATGATGTTTCTCAATTTGGAATGTGTTTTTCTTGGGTTCCAGCCCTGTCAAACAGTGAACACAAAATTACCCAGGATCTGTTGACCAGTCCCCTGTGTCAGACAGAGCCACAACTAAATGCCATGGTCACCGAGTGGGACAGAGCAATAGAGAAGCAGAATTTACATTCCAGGGAACTGGTCAGTTTGATATACATGTATATACTGTATTTGATCACAGATACCTCTAAATGGCTGCTACAATTTGGAGCAATTCTCAAAAATGAGTGCATTTACCAAGACTTGATACAGGTGTAAAAGTGCTTGTTTCTTGTGTTTACATTTACATGTACTACCTTTTGAGTGATAATTAGATGTCCCAAAGGCCTATATGGTATTTTATGGACACTTATCTTGACTTAACATTTAGATGATTTAGTACACAAAAATATAAGTATCAACTTTAGTGAGAGTTGTGTCCCTTGAATCTATTTTTAGAAAATTACTTGTAAAATCTCTCAGGAACTAGTCTTTGTTCATGGTCTTACTAATTTATAACCATTATGTAATATTACACAGAAAGAGGGAGGGAGCTGGGTAGAGTTTTCAACCTAAAAATGAAAAATTCACCAAGATGATCGAAATCTGCGAAAATTTGGAAAAAGAGCACCCCACCCAACTTATAGATAACTCTATCACTGTGAGAAAGCCACTGAGCACTGCAATGATTGATTAAAACTTTTTTGTTCACATACTGTTTACTTATGATATTGCAGAATAATGTTGTACAGAAGACTATGGCAGAGCCAGTTAAAAGGTAACACACATGATAATATCTAAATAACTTTTAATTGTAACACAGAAATGCCCATATGATTATACACATCTGTAACCAATTTGAAAATGCTTGCCAAACAGTACACATATTAACATATAAAATTGTATAAAATGCATCTGTGGATGCAGCCAATGCTTGTTAAAATGCTCATATGTATTGAATGTAATCAATTTCATGTATAATTTTTCAGACTGAATACCATATTTCCAAGCATACAGGCAGCACTGAAAAAACGAGAACAAAGTTTACAAGTAAGAATGTTTCTTTTCTACTGATAAAAAATTCTCATGGTACCTAGGTCTCATATTATAGGAGTGTTGATAAAATATGTTACAATGAGCCCACAAGGGACAAAAGTGTGGAGTACTGGATTTCATATTTTGACTTTGTTTTACCATTCTACCTAGAAGAAAGATTTTATTAAATGAGTATGCTGTATGTTCTGTATACACAAATGTACTGCTGTTTTGAAGGAGTACCAGAAATCCCAGGCTAAAGTAGAGAAGCACCAGAACAGAGAAAGGACCGGACAGAATGTAGTGAAATTAGATTTAGTAAGTTTTGTGTGAAGTAAAATGTGTAAATCATGTCTTCATCAAGTTTCTTACAAATACAATCATTTATGTATGAATAATTTTCCTCACTGGAGTCAGTCTTTTTAAGGTTCGTGCATTGTCCACTCATATAAAATTTTGCTTCAAGGCTTACGATTTTCCAAAAGAAGTGTTACTTTATTTATAATTAAACTATTTTTGCACACCTTGCTGGGCAAAATTTGACAGAAATGACTTTTTAACTTGACAATTAACAATTTAACTTGAAGAAATAATTGCTATTTATCCCAGTTAGAGTTATCTCCCTTGACAGACGGTCATTGAACCTTTATAATCTTTACCTTGCAGAGTAGGAAAGCAGTGGAAAGAACGAAGGCTGACTTTGACTGCCAGAATCAGGCTCTATCTGAAGATCTTCCTAAGTTTGTGGATGGAAGAATTGAATATATTCAGCCATGTTTAGAATCTCTAATCAAATCCCAGGTAAGTATACTATTAGCTTAGGTATATTTATTTACTTTTTACAATTTTAATCAGCAATCACTATCATCTTGTAACAGATAAAAGTATACCTAAGCTATCACTACGCATAGTTTGGCTATGTGAATCAGAAGAAAGCATAAATTAAAATTTTAAGGTAGAGAAATTTTTGTTGTGTGACTGCCTGAACTTATTTTCTTTCTTGCACCATGATCATGAGATTCATGTACATGAATCCTTGCAGGTTTCCTATAACTCCGAGGCTCTACAGATTTATTCCGAATTAGCAGACCAATGGCACACAACCACAGATTTGAGTGAATTAAAATCTCGCCATCAACAAACTTTATCAGACATCAAAGCTCTTGCCATTACTGTGGACTGAGCACAAAGTCCAACTTAACAGTGCCAAAATTAACATGTCATCTCCATGGTTGTGACTTCTTAATCTCCAGGACATTTGTCAGAAAATACATGCTATATTATCTCCATTCAGAGTGAATCAAGCCATGAACCATGAGCGTTGACAGAGAAACGAAACAAGTAAAAAAGCTACTGGACACCATGAAAAAGTTTCATATCCAGTGCTGTGCATTATTACATTTGTACCACAAATAATTAAAATTGCAACTTATGGATACTTCATTAGATACTTTTATTTTTTTTTAATTCTGCATCTCGATGTTTGTATTTTCAATTTTATGAAATGGGATATTTGCAATGTATTAGGTATTACTAAAGTTAAGTGAGCAGAAATTACATTATAATGTATACTAAAGATTATTCATTGTACATGTATCTGTGATATAAAATATGATTTTACAAAATCTATTTTAGTTTCTTTTTCTAATTTTTTGCATCATATTGACAGCACTCATGGAGGCAAGATTTCATACATAAATTGGTATAATAGCATCGGCAGAATGCATAGAGTCATTCACCATAAGGCTTTTGGGCCTTTTTTATATAACAGTTCCGATTCAAAGGAATTTTTAGGAAAAAATCTTTAAAAATCTTCTGCTCAAGAACAGCAAAGCCATTTGTTATACTGATATGGAAGTCCTCAGGTAGTTTATAATTCCCCCTTGTAAACTTTTCAATACAGTGAACCGATATGTGCTTTTTGCTGGCCAATGTGCTCAGGTGAGTGATGTGGCCCATGGGCCTCTTGTTCTGTAAAACTAACATGTACCAGGTACTTACGTATTTGTCATGTCTATTAAAGTATATGTACATATGTATTTGTCATGTGTAATAACGTCATCACATGTATCGATTGAACGTTTACCTGGTGTTATGTAGACTGCCAATCTGATTGGTTATTGTATTTATGGGATACTTTTTCTACAGTTATTTGAATGAATTGTGTGAGAAAATTTACCCAAATCAAGGCATTTTTATCTCTCTCAGTGCAAACTGATATTTCCCTGCCCACACAAAAAACTCTCTTTCTGAAGAAATGGGCAAGTCATTATGGAACAACCAAAGTTCAACAAAAAGCTCCAAGCACTTCCCTCAAAAGGAAAATCATTGTATCAGTTTTCTTTTCTCCATCATCAGCAGTGGGGTATACCCTTTGCATTCGTTGTACCTGATTGCTCTCTGGCTACCTGCATGGAATGGATGTCACGTAGCATTCATTGTCTTCATTTACATTTTAATGCATTTAAGTGTCTTTGTGTTCGTTTGTATTGCACTGACCAGTGCAACTGATGTCATATTTCTTGGGTAACTTTTTCCTCTTTTCTGGAAGAAGCACACAGTAGTTACTTTGTCTCTACCAGGTATTTTACATATATAATGGCAATGTACAGTATGCCCATACAGTGAAATCTAAAATGGGGCTGTAGAAAGAATGACGAATAAGAGAAATACAGCAGACCAATTCCTCTTACGAATCCTGTTCAGCTTTAAAGGTACAGAGACACAGATTTGAAGTTTATATTTTCTCAAATTTTCTGTATAATATCACAACTTAAATGTTGCTATAGAATTTCACACGAATATAAAATTAAAAACTTATTTAATCTGGAAATTATTGAAACTATGAATTTTGGGAGGCGTTTGATTAACACATCCTTGCACTTTCACAATTTTTAACTTTATCCTTAATATATAAGAAAATTGGCAATTTTGTTGTGTATTAATGAATAATATTACATCTATAATCCAGAAAATTCAGAGTAAAAATGTGCGAAAGCAAAACCCACTCACTTAAGTATTGTCAGCCCATGCTCAGTGTTGTGTAGTTGTGTACAGAGTTTAACAAATTGAATACACATGTGAAACGTAAACTGTTTTTGTAAACAGGGCACGAGCTCTGTTGTTGTTAATGTTTAGGTTTCACCAGGTGTGTTCAATTGTTAAACTCTGCACACACCACTGAGCACAGACTGACAATACTGGTGAGAGGATTTTGCTTTCTACATTTCTACTCTGAAATTTCTGCATTGTAGTTTTAATATTTTTTCATTAATAAACAACAAAATTGCTACTTTTCTAAAGTAATAAGGATAAAGTTAAAATTTGTGAAAGTGCAAGGATATGTCTATCAAACGCGTCCAGAAATTCGAAGTTTCCATAACTTCCAGATAAAATAAGATTTTTATCAAATTTTCGTACGAAATGCTATAGCAACATATAAGTCATGAAATTATACAGAAAATTTGAGTAAATACTAACTTCAAATCTGTGTCTAAGCACCTTTAAGGAATCTTCATTTACAAAAAAAAAATTACCCTTAGGCCATCTTTAAACAAGAGGCCCATGGGCCTTATAGATCACCTGAGTATCATGTAACAACTTTGCCACAATTAAATGGGTTCACGTTTTAAACCAGAGGCCATGAAATTCACAATTTCGAAAAAGGCACACTTGGTCATCATAACTTTACATTAAATTAATTTGCTTACTTAATACCCAGAAGCATAGCAGAAGATTATCATAGAATTGATGCATTTTCACTATGTAATCATTAGAGCCCTGCCCTAACACCAGAACCCCGACCCAGAGGCCATGAAATTCACAATTTTACAGGAGGCACCCTTACTCATCATAACTATGCATTCAGTTTGTTTGCTAAATACCCTGGATCAGAGAAGAAGATTATCAAAGAATTAATGCATTTTCACTATGTAATCATTAGAGCCCTGCCCTAACATCAGAACCCTGACCCAGGAGCCATAAAATTCACAATTCTGGAAGATGCACCCTTACTCATCATAACAATACTCTTAGTTCATCGGCTTAATACCCAGGAGAAAAGGAGATTTTCAAAGAATTATTGCATTCTTTACTATGTAATCATTAGAGCCACGCCCTAACACCAAAACCCCAATCCTGGGGCCATGAAATTCAAAATTTTGAAAGATGCACCCTTACTCATCTTAACTATGCATTCAGTTTGTTTGCAAAATACCCTAGATCAAAGATGAAGTTTTTTAAAAGAAATAATACATTTTCACTTTATATTCAACAGAGCCCTGCCTGACACCAGAACCCCTGACCCTGGGGCAAGGAATTTCACAATTTTGGAAGAGGCACCCAGTTACTCATCATTACTACACTCTTAGTTCATTGGCTTAATACCCAGGAGAAAAGGAGAAGATTGTCAAATAATTGCATTTTTACTATGTGATCATTAAAGCCCCGCCCTAACACAAGAACCCCTGATCCAGGGGCCATGAAATTCACAATATAAGAAGAAGCACCTTCATCATAACTATGCATTCAGTTTGTTTGCCCTGGATCAGAGAAGAAGATTTTTAAAGAAATAATGCATTTTCACTATATATTCAACAGAGCCCCAACTTAACACCAGAACCCCTGACACTGGGGCCATGAAATTCAAAATTTTGGAAGAGGCACCTTTCATCATCATAATATGCATTTAGTTTGTTTGCTTAATATCCAGGAGCAGAGAAGAATTTTTTTCAAGAAATAATGCATTATCACTAAATATTCAACAGAGCCCTGCCCTAACACCAGAACCCCTGACCCTGGGGCCACGAATTTCACTATTTCGGTAGAGGGCTCAATGCTTATTACAATCATGCCAACAGTTAGCCTGCTTGATTTCCAGGAGTAAAGAAGATTTTTAAAGATTGCATTAACTTTGATGGTTTTAGCCCAACCCCTCAGGCCCCAGGGGGGTAGGGGTCATGAATTTCACAATTTATACTTCCCTGGGCCTTCACTCGTAGATGCTATATGCCAAATTTGGTTGAAATTGGTTCAGTGGTTCCAGAGATGAAGCTAAAAATGTTCAAATGTTAACGAACAACGGATGACGCACGCCAATGGAAGAAAACAGATAGCAATAGGTCACTGGAGTAAACTCAGGTGACCTAAACAATGTTTGCCCTCTCCTGACCAACTGGCTAGAAATAGCCCAAATCAAGGCTTTTTCTAACCTCTAGAAAACAATTCTTAACATTCATTCTGAAAAATAGATTTTGAAAATTCAGCATTGATGTTGAAATTTCCTGGAGGAAAAAGAATTTCCCACCTACCTACCTACCCAATTTTTTCATCCTGAGTCGGGAGTGGGCAAAAACCAAAGTTGACTTTATAAACATTACTATACATTCACATAGGCCTTATATCAAAAAGACAAATTTCAGCTTATTTTATTGTTGTATATCCATGATAATTTCATACATCCTGTATGCAGTTACAAAGAAATGATTCAAAACAACACTTCTTGATGCTCTTTGTAAACTGAACAATAATAAAATTTGTACTTTTACAAAATAACAATGACTAGTTTTATAGAACACTGTGTTGAATATCAAAGTGTTTTAAGGGGATTGCTTTAGATAAGCAAATGTGCATCAAGGTTGTTATCACAGAATTAAGTGCTTCGTTAAACTACACTCTTAAATGAACAGCTGAATGGAAATCATACATCCTAATAGTATTTGTTATGAGGCTATTTTGATTATCCTGTAATAAACTTAAATTCAAAACTTTAAAAATGACAATGTACAAAAAATGAAACAACAATGGTGAACACGAGTCTTTGTTATATAACATTTTGAAAATAAAAGTATTAAGTACATGTATGTACAATGAACACATTTTACTTTTTCAGCACCTTACAAAAATTAAGTCATAAATGCCCTTTTATAAAACAATATTGATTGAAAATGCAGTTTCTTGATGAACACAATATTTGTCAACACTTCCATGCTGACCATGTTCTTGATGAACACTTCACAACACAATTGCTTCAATTTATACTTAGCACAAGAATGCAAAAGCATCAAATACTGAGAACAGTGAGGACTATGTAATGAACTTTTTACAGCCACAGATTCAATATTACTCTAAAAACTAGTACACTACTATTAATCTGTACAAACAAGGCATGTCCCTACATTGCTTTCATCCATTTTTCATCTTTTGTCCTTTATACACTGAATAATTAAAATCAAATTTGTCAATATCAAATATACACACTAAATGAAAGTTCCTGGCAAATTCCATACATCCTTAACATATCGTGACATATAGTTTGGCAAGAGCAAATTACTGGAAGGATATTTTTATATGAAGCTGCTTTCTACTAAAGTAATCAGTACTTCCTTCCAGTTAATGGGAGTTGAGCTGCATCGAGCATATCAATTCAACTGATCAACAGCCTTTCTAAAATTTGATCAAGTTTATATTTTCTTTTTCAATGAGTTCTGGTGATGACATATACATGCCAGGTTTTGGGATCACTAATAGCCATGGTGAAAACTTAAAAATCTGCTGCTGCTCAAATTTTACAATCCTAAAGCATTGTCATAACTGCTAATTTAAAAAGCACCTCTGATATAAGGCTTTAGTAACCTCATTATTTCCTGTTTTTTCCTCCATTAGTGGCCACTTTGATAAGAGTCTTGTCTGCTCCAGGGGCTTGACTTGGGAACTCCTACTGGTCCTCTTTTAAATCCTTGGCGTTTTCCTGCATAAAATTTATTTCATCATTATACATACTAGAATTAAAAATTGTTCTTTCAAGTGAACATTAGTAATATTTTATGTTAGCTTTCATGTTTTTAAAAAAAAAATTGTTGAAAATGGAAATCTGCTATTATTCCAGACTGTAGATTCCTCATTTTTCATGAGTACTTAATATCATGAAATGACTCTTAGACTTCAAATCACGAAAAAAGGAAATTGGTTCTGAGTGTTTACATGTATTTTGCCTTTATAAAAATAAAGTAATTTCATTTCATGTCTTGTGCTTCTTGCAAAATTACGTGATAATACTAGGGCTGTGTACTGAGCAAAATATTTCGATAAGATACGATATTTTATAAAGCGATATGTGATATATTGGATTCTTTAACAAGTCTATCAAAAAAGTCTTGTATATCATTTAATCCATAGATTTGATAAAAAATGGGTGTTTTATTACCAAATTGGAAGTTCATGTCTTAATTACTGTCTTTACAAAGTACACTTCAAATTCAAACTTTTAATGATTGTAAAACTAACATGTAAAAATATAGTTGTCTGTATGTATTTTGTAATAGTTATTTAAGATGTGCTATATCCTTAATGTTTATTTCATTATTGATCATTTTTAAATTCAAAACAGTCAAAAATAACCTTTGGTGACTGAAATTCCCAACTTTTTCACAGAATTATAAGAAAAACTGCCTGCCCGATACATATTGGAAGTTATTTTTTTGATACGATACATTCCTGAATATTCGATACATATTGATTCATCGATATATTAACACAGCCCTAATTAATACCTTATGTATATTTAGGAATCTACAGTATTTCAACTAAATTTTTCATAACTATTAGTCTCACCCCTTTCTCCTTGGTCCAAAGCCAGTATATACTGGAACAAAGATGGACTGCACACCTGCATCACTAAATTTTCATCTGGTCTTCGACGTCGGACAAATGCCTTAAGGCCTGGGGTCAAGTTGGTTTCCAACAAGTTTCTCAGCATTTTTAGTCTCTTTTCGGTTTTTGCACGAGGCAGGTCCTTGTTCAGAAATCTCACACTAACATTCAAGTACTCCTCTGGAACAACAAACGTCTGATGATGTACACACCAATCACAAAGAAAACTGTACAAATATAGCATGAAGTCTTCTATCAGCAATAAGCACTCCATTAGAGACATGTGATCTGCCAGATCAATACACAGAGATCTCGGCTCTGTGGGGATGTTTTGTGCTGGGTATACATTCTGTGCGGTCAGGTAGTTATAAACATTGTGAGCACCAGGATCGAGGTATAGGCATTCTCCGCACACTGTCACTAACCGCCGCAGCATACTGGGGTCAATGCTTTCTCCAGTGCAACCATTCTTAAAGACTTCAAAGGCGGCATATGCTCTTTGCGGGTCACCAATGTCCAAGCACTGGGATATGATTAAATGAAAATTTTCTCCAAAACCTGTAAAGATAGTGATTGGTTTCCATTGTTTATTCAAAATTGCACACTATTTTAAGTCATTGACACTCAAATTTTGGTGTACCTACCATTCAAAATTGACCCACTTATATTTAGTCATTGAATTTGGTTTTTCTTGAATTTAAATGATTGTAAGTGACTCAAAACATAACTTATTTAAGTATACATTCATGTATTTAGCTTTCAAAGTAGTCTTCATTCCTAATTTACAATTGCTATATGATTGAAACCAATTACAATACACATTATTCTGTGGGAAATATTAAATGTTTCTTACCTATCAATGAGTTGTAAAACTCAACTTGCTGATCTGAAACACATGGAAAACAAAACTTTAAAACAGGAATAGCTTTAAAGGTGCTAATTTTAATAGAGAACGAGAATGCCTTTCACACAGCAGAATATTTTTTGCAGTGTTTGTCAAATAAATGCACAGTATTCTGTAAAATCACTGAATTTATCAGGGCAAAGAACTAAGTACGTTACGTATTATTCGAAGGCCCACAATTTTTCTTATTTTGATATACACGTTTGCAAAAATATAACTACTATGTACATGTAGAAGAAGATTGGTAGTTTTGATATATGCATAACAAAATTTCGCAAGTACGTTGATTAGAGGTATTCACAGGATTTAAACATCCGTTCTTTCCGGAAATTGCTATTTTTCCCACTATTTTTATAACAAATTCCCAAAATTGAAGTAGTGCACACCCCTCGAGCAAAATAAAACATATATATTTGAAAATAATTTGATAAAAGACAAGCAAAAATAATGGTAAGAATTTGCTCGAGGAATGTGCAGTATGTAAATTTTGACATTTCATGACTATTTCCGGTGGTGGATACCAAGTTAGTCGAGAGGCTAGTTCTTATCTAGGAGCAATAATAACGGTGTATTTCGTGTAATAATGTTAAAGAACTAAATTTATCATTGATTGGTCATTGTTATATTGCTCATACAAATATATTTGTCATGAAAATAGCATAAGAACTAAAAAAAAATGTTTTATAGAAATGACAAATTACGATATATTTTTTTTTATATACAACTAAGCCTTACACTTGATAAATGTTGCCAGCAAGAAGGGAAGAGATCAATTTAATATACTAAAGCAACAAAATAAAAATGTTCAGCTGACAAATTAAATCACTAAAAGTATTATTGCAGAAAAGAAAATGCTTAAATCCTAGCCCTTATTTTATCTTGCTACTGAAACGGCATAGTTGACGTCTGCATGTATGTAAATAAATTACGCAATAAACTCAAAGATGACGTCACAATAGGTCCCCTTGCAACACATTTTTTTGGAAAGGGGGGGGGGATAAATTCCCAATCCTTTGGATGCTGTTGGTCAGGACTGATCAGATTAATTAATATTCTGAATTCTTGTATTTTCAGTCATTTATACAAGTGCACGGTTGATGTTTAGTATATTTTTAGATTTTATAATACATGCACAATATAAGCGTGTTGCATCTCATCTGCATATTGTAGACATTGCCGTTAATATTATGCAAAGCCATATAAAAACAAAGGCTCATATTTCACCTATTAAAAGAGCCACAGCGCATTTGATGGGTATTTTCGCATACTCTACTAGTGATTTCTTAAATTCATTGTTTAACCAAAATTTTGTCATACAATCTTGGTTTATACATGCGTAAAACCATACCACACAATAATGATATTTCAATATTAATAGTTTCCTCATATGATAAATATAAAAATTAACCAGTTTGTATGGAGTATATAGTAAATATTGAGGTATCCACCTAAAGATGACAAACTCAGTTGCCAAGGACTACCCATAGCCAGAGAAAAAAAACAACTTTTGAATGATTTTATTTGGATATGACTGCACTTTTAATTTTGGTTAAATGTCATATTGTAATTTTTGAATTTACCGGGTGGTAGTAAATACAAAAATTACAATATGACAAGTTTTTATTCATTCAACGTCATTGACTTCGTTGGTGCAGCGGTATGATCTCTGGAATGTAAATATGGTGATACCGAGTTCGAGTCCCACATTTTTCCATTTATGCTTTCTTAAATTTGTTTTTCTTTGTGTATCTTTTCTACGTTTTTCTTTATTACGTTTTATGATATACATAATTTCAGAAAGTTATAATATACACATTACACTTTGAAAGTATCTCGGGAAAAGACAGTCCTAAGCTATTTTATTAAAGTTAGCAAATTCATAGCTACTTGTTTTATTTTTATTGATTTTATAAATCTTTTGTCTCAGAATTTGAGTATTGAACAAATTAAATGATTTTTTTTTTTGCTATACTAAGTTGGTGAAAAAAGCCTCAGTAAGTTGCTAAAGAAAATTCGATAGAAGGTTGCCCATGCCAACTATTCAAGAAGTGCTACAGCTTGTTTAGGGAGGGGGGGGGGGGGGTACTTGATTCGTGCATTTGAGAAGGACCATCTGGTGACATATAAAATTATTAATCGAATGACAGCGCTTTTTCAGTTTCTTTTTGTTTTTTTTTTTTTTTGAAACTTTTTCAGATGACATGACAGAAACGTTTAAAACACATTTTGTTTAAATAAATTCGTGAATTACGTCACGAGAATGGGCTGGGAAATTTGCCCTTTCAATGTTATCTATTAATTAAAATTTCAAATACTTTTCGAAAATATCTTTAATGCTTTCTCATAAACTTTTATAGGGAATCTGACATTTATAAAATAGTGTTAAAAGTTTTAATGCAATCTTAAAAACAAACCAAGTAAATTCGCATAAAAAATAGTCTAGCTTTTAAAAATCAAACTCTTGCTTGAATTAGAATAATCGGATACTTATAATAAACGTAGTACTATTAAATATACGTTATGCATTTCTCTCTCACTCTCCCCCCCTCTCTCTCTCGTTTTAAAATCATATAAATTCATCTTTTATTTGTACGTATATTGTCGGACCCAAAAACCAAACTGTTTGTCTCACTCTGGGGCCGTTATTTAACCGTTCGATGGTTCAACAAAATGCATTTTGCCCGAGAACCTAGTCAATAAATGTTTTGTTTTACCTTTGTATCTTGTGCAGGCTTCCATGATGTAAATTTACTTAAATCACACTGCGGTTAAAATTGGTCAATTTCGTCACTGTCGAACACCAACGATTGCAAATGAAATTTAGCTGATCCCGCTCACAATTTTAACGTAAGCGGTCCAATTTCTCATCGACAGGTCAAATATCTTACTCCGCGGCCAAACTTCGATTTTTTTTTTTATGACCACTCAGTACAACATTAGGAATGTGTATAATAGATTTATATAGAAACCAATTTTTAAAGGTATATATAACAAAATTTTGTGTTGTACTCTGGAAATCTTCAGAATAAACTCTGAAATATTGTAGGAAGCAAATGTCAAAAGCGATTGGTGCATATGTGTATAAATGATAGAGGCTGTATTCGAATGATTAAAATTCTGTATCAGACAAGGGCGGTCTGTGAGAAAATGGATTATCTGTAAAAATCTGAACAGAAACCCTGAGTTGCTAAAGTCATGGAAAAAGAAAGGCGCTTCACGGTTGCTGATCTTGTAAATGCATAGTTACGCGGTAAGATAGAAAAGAAATAAAACATGGACAAACAAAATTAAATTATACATGTACCGGTACGATTGTTAGCAATATAAAATAAAATTGATGGAGAAACGTTTTTAATAAGTGGCTATTGGACCAAACTGTGTGAAATATAAAGGGAGATTTTTTTTTTTGAAAACACCATGACGCATTGTTTTTTGACGTTATAATGTAGTTCCAGGGATACCAAACATGTTGATTTTAAAAATTAAGTAAATTGATTTCTGTTAAATCGGATGGAATGAAACTTCACATATCAACAAAATAACTATTTTATATAAGAAAATGTGTTCTTTTTTAATATTTCTTGAAAGTAATATAACGAACTTTCCAACAACTCTCGTATTTGCGTAGTGTCGCTAGGTTGACGTCATAACGTCATAGTGTTATTTTCCAAAGAAACGATCTATATTCAGATAGCGTTGTAGGAAAATTGAGTTGAGATAATTACAAAAATTAAGCTGAATTAAAAAGATGACATCTTAGGCATGTTTCAAAAATATCTTCATCAGATTTGGGGACAGGGCCGATTTTGGTCCGTAACGTACTTTCTTCTTTTCATGATTCAAGTAAAATCCTGTTTGTGGGTTCTTGATTTCTTTGGAGAAATATGGTAGACAAAATATGACCTCAGAAAAGCTAGCCCATGTATGCTAGCAGTACCTGATACCAGTATTATTGTTACCGTATACAGGGAAATTTTTGCCCCCGTTTTATTTTCGCCCCTTTCGCCCTACTCACAGGTGGCGAATTTAAAATGGGTCGAATTCGAAGAACACAGTATAATTTCTTAAACAAAACTGTGACTGGGCAAATTTAAAATGGGGCAAAATTGCTTGCAAGTGTGAAAGGGCGAAAATAACACAGGCAAAAATAACCCTGCATACAGTGTCTCACCTCTCTGAGCTTTTTGTAGGACTTTACAGATCATCATCAATGCCATTGCTGGTCTCTTCATGCCAGTGAATAGTTTAACAAGGTTGTACAACAGTATCACACGCTCCTTGAAGTCAGGTTTTTCTAGCTTTAAGCCATCAACAAAGGACCAGCTACATGCTGTAAAAAAATCCAATAATCCTGAATGTCCAGGGTGATTTCAAGAACAGATTTAGCTTCAAAAATACTACCAAATCTTATCATGAAAACCCCAGTCACATTTCCAAAAATGACTGATGGCCAATGGTTTTTTAGGCAAAAATAGGATTCTTGGGATGGCAGTTCATCTGCCCAATTTTTACCTCTTTTTTTGTCGGCCAACCAATTTTGTGTCAGTCATGCCAAGTTATAATTTTTCTGCATCGGTGGCTGATTTCTTCAGTTGAAGCAGTCGTTAAATAGTCCAAAGACCAATCTTCCATCATTGTCTGACCATCGGCAGACAGTTTTTAATGTTGGTCAATCGACATTTAGGAATTGGATTATCATAAACGTCGGTCGACGGTGAAAATCAAACTGCCGCCCAGCGCATGATGATTGGGCGACGGTTGGCCAACTTACAAATATTTTTACTTTTAAAGGCATTGGTGTTCCTAGGAATTAATGTGATTACTCTGCGTCGCCCAATACTAGTATTGGCCGATAGTGTTTTTTCAGCCGACGATACAAGAAAAAATTGGGTGGCCTACCATCGGCTTAAATGTGACCTAAGCAGAACTCAACAAGACCAAGAATAATCCATGAGATACATCCAAGGGCTGGGGATATTGCGATTAAAAAGCATACAGAAAATGGTTTAGACTTCCAAACCACTTCATTCGAGATATCAATGTTTGAGATAACGAACATCAATTGTATCAGTTGCAAATTTTGCAGGAATTTAACCATGTTTTTCCTTCAATTCTATAAATGTAATCAATTTTTTTTTTATTGTTTTAAATTTTGAAATAAACTAGTGTAAGAGGCAGCAAAACTTTAATTCATTAAACCAATAAAAGTACTTTTAAAATATGATCCATGCTTATTTAAATTCTAAGTCATAATCAAGATGAAGGAAACTGTGCGTCTCCGTAACACTGTATGACAGATTCTCTTCAAGGTAACTTGTACTGGTATAACACTATACAGAAACTCCACACCTTTCTCCCTACCTGTTAAAAGCTGCACAGCTTGGTACGGTTTTTTACACCTCAGACAAACATCAAGTGCTATTGTAGACATCAGTGCACCTTCAGGAGATTTCCGGGTCAAGTACTGGATGTTGTTTTTCTGAAGAATCTGGATGACTGCTAGGCCCTCCCTCCACCACTGGGACATGGCACAGAAATGCAGAAGTTCTGCTCCAATAATGGCCAGGGCGGGTTTATTTATACTGTACAGGGCATCCTCTGTTTTCTCTGAATAAAAACATAAAAACCAAAGTTAATCAATTTAAAGCATGACTCTAAGATCTTTTTGTTGTTGCTATTTATATGAAACATCCATCTTTTTCACTACTGTATATTTCACTACTCTACAATTTATGTGCATATGCCAGTTAAAACTAAGTCTATCATAATAATTTTTTTGTTTATTGATTCCTTTCTCTTTTCATTGTTATGGAGCACCATTCCCTCCATCACAATGCTACACAATGAACTTACTACATGCATTAAAATTTTGGCTTAATAATCGAGCCATCAGAACAATTGTTTGAGATTTTTTTCCCACAGAGATCAGTATAATTTTTGTTACAAGCCAATTCTCTCTTAATTTTGAATCTCCCATATCAATCTCAATCAATCAGAAAAGAAAAAAAATTTCAAAACTTAACTATAAATTTAACAATATTAATCTCAGCAACTCTAATTTTGCTGCAACTCTATTTCCTATAAACACACTTTTATCCATGGGGTCCTACTTCCACAGACTCGTAATATCTATTCAATCAGCAGGTAGAAAATTACACAAATTTCTTTGATTGCTTATGTATATCTTAAATGCATTTAAGTATGCTGGAACAAATTTCCACAGAAAATTTGTGACTGCTTACACAGTGTACATTAATCCCTTGCAGAAAATATACCTCTACAGCAGACTTTTACTGTTAGTACTTTTAATATTAGTAGGTTCAATGATCTTTCACATCTGAATGATGTTTCTTTTTACCTTTAATATAGATGTTATTGACATTTTCCATAAAGCTCTTAAAGGCATCCACAAGTATATGTGGATTCTTCTTGTCCCATGTAAAAGCCTCTACAAAGGCATGAATAAAACGTGGATCCTTTCCCTTTTCCATGTCACACAGTTCTAGAAATAGTTGGGCCAGGTATTCCCAATTCCTTGCCAGCCTGGCTCCCTGTAATTTAAGTAAATCTTTCAAAGTTGAAGACTGCAAAAAAAACAAGAGGCCCAAGGGCCTTAATGGTCACCTGAGTATAATACAACAATTTAGAAGTTAAATACACTGATAGATGAAGCATTGTTGCCCTAGCCCCCCCCCCCCCCCTCCTCAAGAACCCCAAAAACTGAGGCCATATATTCAAAAATTTTGGAAGAGGCATCCTTGTCTATCATAATCATGCACTTAGTTTGTTTAAATAATCTCCAGTAGCAGAGAAGAAGTTTTTCAAAGAATCAATGCATTTTCACTATATAATCAATAGAGCCCCGCCCTAACACCAGAACCCCTGACCCTGGGGCCATGAAATTCACAATTTTTGAAAAGGCATCCCTATGCGTTTAAATAGTCTCCAGTAGCAGAGAAGAAGTTTTTCAAAGAATTAATGCATTTTCACTATATAATCAATACAGCCCCACCCTAACACCAGAACCCCTGACCCTGGGGCCATGAAATTCACAATTTTTGAAAAGGCATCCTTATGCATCATAATCATGCACTTAGTTTGTTTAAATAATACCCAGGAGCAGAGAAGAAGATTTTCAAAAAATTAAAGCATTTTCACTATATGATCAATAGAGCCCCGCCCTAACACCAGAACCCCTGACCCAGGGGCCATGGCTTTCACAATTCTGGAAGAGGCCCACCTCCTCATCATAACTATGTACTTAGTTACTTTATTAAATACCCAGGAGCAAAGAAGAAGATATTCAAAGAATTAATGCTTTTTCACTATATAATTTATAGAGCCCCGCCCTAACACCAGAACCCCTGACCCTGGGGCCATGAATTTCACAATTCTGGAAGAGGCACTCTTGCTCATCATAACTATGTACTTAGTTCCTTTATTTAATACCCAGGAGCAGAGAAGAAGATTTTCAAAGAATTAATGCATTTTCACTATATAATCAATACAGCCCCGCCCTAACACCAGAACCCCTGACCCTGGGGCCATGAATTTCACAATTTTGGAAGAGGCACTCTTGCTCATCATAACTATGTACTTAGTTCCTTTATTTAATACCCAGGAGCAGAGAAGAAGATTTTCAAAGAATTAATGCATTTTCACTATATAATCAATACAGCCCCGCCCTAACACCAGAACCCCTGACCCTGGGACCATGAATTTCACAATTTTGGAAGAGGCACTCTTGCTCATCATAACTATGTACTTAGTATCTTTATTTGATACCCAGGAGCAGAGAAGAAGATTTTCAAAGAATTTATGCACTTTCACTATATGATCTATATAGCCCCACCCTGGGGCCAGAACCCCTGACCCTGGGGCCATGAATTTCACAATTTTGGTAGAGGGCTCAATGCTTATTACAATGATGCCAACAGTTTGACTGCTTCATGTCCGGGAGTAAAGAAGAAGATTTTTAAAGATTGCATTATTTTTGGTGGTTTTAGCCCCACCCCTCAGGCCCCGGGGGGGGGGGGGGGGGGGGGGGGGGGGGGGGGCAGGGACCATGAAATTCACAATTTTTGTTCCCCTTCACCCATAGATGCTATATACCAAATTTGGTTGAAATTGGTTGAGCGGTTCTAGAGAAGAAGTTAAAAATGTTCAAAAGTTAACGCACGACGGACAAAAACAGATAGCAATAGGTCACCTGAGTGACTCAGGTGACCTAAAAAAAAAGTTTGGCAAGAGATCACAAAAAGGCCCCTGTTTTACACTAAATATCAACTACATATAATGCAAGGAAATTTTTTGAGGTGTATGGATTACATTTGTTAAATGCATGAAAAATCATTCTCCAAGATCGATTTCAGTAGTAGAGAATTACGCAATTCTGCCCCCCAAAATCGGTCTTTGTAATTTATTACACACATCATTGATTTAGCATACTATCAATTCCCACTTCAATTCGAACATATACACTATATGTAATTAACCAATTTTTGAAAGGTTTTGTCTTTTGGTAAGGAGACAATATAAATAATACAAACCTTCACTCTATTCATATTGCACTTCTGTTCTTCTGAGTTGCTGTCTTCTGGAATGGGACTTCTGGCGTCTGAATGAACACTAGAGGTGTCAGAATCTCGTTCCCCGGTATGGCTCTGCAAGGAATTAAATAATATAACATGTGCAGTCTATGGACCTGTTAATTTGTTCCTGAGCAAACTGTCCTGACCCCAGAGCCATAAAACTTAGATGAGCTCACTTTTGATCTCGGTCTCACTTTTCCACTATTAATTCCTTTGGTAAAAGTTAGACTGAGATCAAAAGTGAGCTGGTCTAAGTTTTATGGCTCTGGGGCCAGATTTAATGAAGAGTCCAGATTACTGAAACCCACTTTAATAATTGGTATATATAAATATAAAATCCGTTTTTATTTTGAATGTGACGTGTCTGGATTATTGACGTCTGCACTGCTGAGGCACAACTGTACATAAATGATAATTGCTCAGCAATTTTCAATTTCACAGTAATGTGTGCTGCACCACATAGGCATGATCAGAAAAATCAGGTCATAATAAATGAAAGAAAAAATGAGCAAGCTCACATACCCCACGCTCCCCCAAAACTCGACAATGCAACATGTACTGAATAGCACAGTGCATTTTAAATACCCAGTATAATTCAAAAAGTGCATTACTTGCAAAAAATCTTCACATCAAAACTTCTTGCATATAAGGATATTCAAATCTTTGTATGTTACAAATTTAATTGGGCTGAAGTTTCTAGATAAATAATGGAATAAAAATTTCTTGGTAATATACAAATCTATACATTATGTCTGAAATACCTACAGAGTTTCAGGAAATTCAGTGCAGGAGTTATGCTGACAAACTGTTATTTAAATTCCTCAGTGATTTCGATTTGTTTACGAGTGTAAGTCCATGTCCAACACATGACAACTTACACATTTAAATAATTGATGGAAACAAAATTATGATGTAGTCATATGAATTTGTTTATATACTGTACTTATGAAGTTATTTAAGGCAAAGCACCAATTTGGGGGGGGGGGGGGGAACTATCCAAGATTCAAGATTTTGTGTGTGTGTTAAATCATTAATATTTTGATCTCAAAATCAATACAGGTTTTTTAAGGTCATAAAATATTTCACATAAAATGTCATTACAAAGGCTGATTCCAGTGTGGATTTCCTTATTACCTAGCTGGAAAGTTTCTTCAATAATAGGCAAAACTCTTAGGGCAAAAATAATGGAATTGGAATTTCCTGGTAATATGCACATCTACACACTGTGTCCTAAATATCTGCAAAGTTTGACGAAATTCTGTGCGGCGTTTTAAAAGGAGTTGCACTGACAAACTGTTCATCTCTATATTCAAGATATGGTCAAAAATCTTATTTGAAAAGTGCCGAAATTCCCAGAAAAATAAAGGAATCGGAATTTCCTGGTAGTATGCACATCTACACATTGTGTCCTAAATATCTGCAAAAGTTGACGAAGGTTTAAAAGGAGTTGCGCTGACAAACTGTTCATCTCTTTATTCAAGATATGGTCAAAAATCTAAGTTGAAAAGTGCCAAAATTCCCAGGAAAAATAAAGGAATCAGAATTTCCTGGTAATATGCACATCTACACATTGTGTCCTAAATATCTGCAAAGTTTGACAAAATTCTGTGCAGCAGTTTAGGAGGAGTTGCGCTGACAAACTGTTCATCTCCATATTCAAGATATGGCCAAAAATCTAAGTTGAAAAGTGCCAAAATTCCCAGAAAAAATAAAGGAAACGGAATTTCCTGGTAGTATGCACATCTACACATTGTGTCCTAAATATCTGCAAAGTTTGATGAAATTCTGTGCAGTGGTTTAGGAGGAGTTGCGCTGACAAAAAAACAGGACTGACGGACGGGTCAAAAACATTATACCCCCCGCAACTAGTTGCGTGGAGTATAATTACTTAAAAACCATGATACATCCATGAAAACAGGTCATCATAAATTACTTAAAAAGCTTAAGCTACATGAACTTACAAGTTCAATGATTCTTGGTCTTAAACTGCACAACACAAGATCCAGACACAATATGACCATGAATTGCCGTAAAATTCCAAAATGAAATCCCATCCACCTACTTTGGTTTGCAAAACAACCTTTTTTCATAACATGTCAAAAGACAAGCATGAATGAGATCTATCAGTACATCAGATATCAATACAGGAGAACCACTACTGACCTCTATGGTAGCTGACTGTGTTTTCTGAGCTATAGTTCGTACAATGCTTGCTGCTTTCAGATGATGATGCTGAATGAAAAAATCAGCCACTTTACCCAGCAACTGAAAATAAAAAAAAAATCTATATAACTTATGAATACCCTAGCAAGTTAAGACGAATATTTCTAAAATACATGTAGTATATTTTTCAGTGCTAATATTAATTGGCAAATATGAGATAACAAGATAACAAATTAAATTTGAGTACATTCACATACATGAACATGTAGATTCTGAAAAAAAATAATAAGTTCCAGTCAAAATTTTAGAATGATTTTGTCTGAGTGAGAAGAGAGCTAAGAACTTCACAACTTGTGCAAAATTTGTGTACAACAATGCTTTATCAATTCAAAACCATTTCAAACTGGATAAATGGAGAAAATTGCAAGAGGGCTGAAAATTGATCATTATGAATGTACTGTAGTTATAACCTCTGTGTCCTGGTTATACAACTGTTCCTGATCACAGTTCTCGATCCACTCAGATGCCTCTGGGACGCACGTTTCTGGGGTTTCTATAACTGCACCAAGAGCTGACCGAGTGATGTACACCGGAGGAGAAAAGCCCGGACGACAAAGGCTGTAGTTCATTACTTTCCATAACTTCAGCCATTGCTGCTTCTCTTGAAATGCTCTAAAAATGTAACAGTACACAATAGGAGATCACAGTCGAGGAAAAAGTTTTTTAAAAGCAAGAATATGTGTGACCTAGAATTAAGTCCTCACAACGAGTTCCATGTACAAGTGAGGCTGTCTCACTTCCACAGTTTAAGATCATTTATTTTCGTGGGAGTCAATTTTTCATGGATTGAGGAAATATTGGTTTGTGAGGATATGATTTCATGGTTGTAGAGGTTTCAAGTTGTTTTATTTTCCACAATTTATATTTCCTGAAGAACATCATTTCGTGGGTCTCTTTATACAATGCAAACAATGAAAATTAACTCCCTCAAAAATTGATGATTTCAAAATATTCATGAACATATTTTCAATCTTTCATGACTGATAAATAGTATGTTTCAAGATTATAATATTTCATCAATGATTGATTAACAACTGATATTTCTTAAGATGATACTTTTTTTACTTAAGAAACCACTGTGGCGTACCTGAGGAGCACCACAATATTCTGACCAGCTAAGTATTTGTCCAAATTTTGTACACAGGAAAACAATTTCCAGATTTCCTTTTCATAATGTCCTGGAGAGAGACTGCACATTGAGATGAGCATTTCATGAAACCTGCAACAATAATGCATAAATACTGTAGTTCATGATATTCCATTAGCAATATTGTTACAGGACATTATTTTCTATAAAAGAGCACATATGAATATAAATTAGGAAAAGATTCGAGAAGTAAATGTTAAATAAATTAGCTGCAAAACATACTCAACAGTGAGCATGTGGAGCACAAAACACAAAAATCTAAATATATTTTCCATCTAGATTATGAAGAGATATTCAATCTCTGCATGTACATGCACTTACAGAAATTTCAATCAAATTATTTTTCACATGTTTAGTGAGAATAAAGATATGTGAAATGACTACAAACTCGATGGATTTGATCTTTTCAACATGTCTGAGAAGGTCCAATGCCATGTTCATATCACAGTCCTCCTCAGCTAAATTCAGTAACATGATGATGTGTTTGGTTGGAATCAGGTCTTGTAACTTCAGGTCCAGCAATGTCTTGTAGATACCATAGGCTCTGTAAAGAAGTGAATCTATAAGATTTTGTTTAGTGTCTAAAATAAGTGAAGAATTTCATAGTTCAGAATTCTAAACAGTATATTTTTCCCCATAAAAAAACTACTACTAGTATCAATTAGAGGTTAAATGGCATTCTCTTCCATAAAAGCTACTTACATTTCAAAATTTCATCATTTTGAAGTTTGTACCCTCCACTTACAGAGAAAAGATGATGGTGGAGGATGTGAAAAAAAGGCAGATGGAGAAAGAAAAAATTGCCTTGACCTCTCTGTTTTTGGCCTTCATGGGGGTCTTTCTTAAGTTAAAGAAATTCATGACCTTAAGTTTCATTGCAATTAGTAATTATCTGAAAACCATATTTTGCAATGTATGAATTCCTAACCTTGACCTTTTGACCCCAATATCAACAGAGGTTCTTTATAAGTTACTTAGTTATGATATTAAATTTAATTGTGAAAAAAATCAAAAAGAACTAGTTATCATCTGGAAACCATTTTATGCAATAATGAATTTTTACCTTGATCTTTGGACCTAAGAAATCAAAAGAGTCTTTTTCAGGTCATAGGGAGTTGTGATATAAAAGAGCTAGGTTCACTTTATGCATAAAATGGCCCTGTAGATATACCAATTTCTTGACTAACAACTTATGTTCCATTTTAAACATCAAGATAAAGTAGAGACTTGGTGCTTTCTTTTCCTATTAAAATTTTTCTCCTTAAAGTCCAGGTCTTGGAAAACAAGCTTTATGGAATAGCAATGTTCTTGAATTTTAAGGAAAACAGGTATAATTAAGTACTTTCAGAGAAGAAAAATAATATGAGCGCACCCTCTGATCTAAAAAATAAAACATGTTTTGTAATCCTCAGAAACGGTTCTATCAGTAAATAATTGCATATTTTAGATCAGAGATTGCGCTCTATATTAAATATCGAAAAATAGCTTTAAAAATTGGCTGTTTTTGTAGAATTGTTCAGGATATGAGGAAAATGACACATTTCATGACGTCATAATGCATTGACTAGCCAGAAAATTACGTCATTTTTGGTAGATTCTCAATCGCCAAATGTCTAAGTAAAATTTAATGATTGTCATTAAAACTAAGCAGTTTCAGTCTTTCATAAATTCACTGGGCCAAAAAAGGCCCTAAGTGAACCTTGTTCTTTCAATGCAAAAGCTCAAAGGCTTTTTGAGATATTATCCAGAAATGAAAGTGTTGCACACAGACAGAATGACAGAGGGACAGACTTAAACAAGAAGTCTGTGAGCCAGTGCTCACTAGTAATACCCCCGCTCTGATGTGTATTGTGAATATGCACTATAAGCGTGGATAAACAGGAAGTTGACATCGGATTCATACAAAAATAAATCCCACCATATGGCATGCCTAAACAAAGAGTGTGTTAAAATTTCAAGCATCTGCGCTGAGTAGTTACTGAGAAAACTGTGACGAAAGTTTGTTATATATGGTACAGACAGATGCACGGATAAACAGGAAGTTGACCACGAATTCGTACAAAAATAAATCCCACCATATGGCATGCCTAAACAAAGAGTGTGTTAAAATTTCAAGCACCTGCAATGAGTAGTTGCTGACAAAACTGCGACAAAAAATTTGTCACAGACAGACAGACAGACAGACAGATGGACACACAGACAGACACACAAGGGTAAAACAGTATACCCCCCTCTCCTTTGGAGCGGGGGTATAATTAATATCCCAACTTTCATGAAAAGCAGGGTACAAAAAGGAACCAGACAATATTTATATTGAATACCTTGACTTTCAAATTCCTGAAAACTTACCTTTCCTTATCACCCAGGTTACTCTGACGAGCAATTTCCTGGATACCATTTTTAAACAGCTCATCCTACAAATGCAATAAAACAATATTGTACAGCTTTCAGAGGAAAGGTACATAAAGGCAGCACATTACACAGACAAGAATACGGCATGTGATTAGACAAACAGTACATTATTCTATATTATCTTAAATCAATCTATGAGTGCAGTACATTACGAGATGTAAATTCAAGACAATTCAAGATTGTAGAACATTATGAGATATCAATTTACAACTGGAGATTATAATTTTATGAATATTATTAGTTATCTAAGATCCAATCAAGGGTGTACGGGGATTTACCCCGGGTTTTATTCCATACACCCTGAGACCAAAGGGTGTATGGAATACAACCTGGGGTAAATCCCCATATACCCTTGATTGGACCTGGATAACAAATTTATTTCCTATGTACCCAAATAAATTCTTTGTAAAAAGGTCCAATCAACTGTGTTTCAAGCTATCGATAAGATTTACTATGTCCTACAATGCATTGTGACATCATGTTACCTGCTTTTTATCATAGAGAAACTATGCATTGTGACATCACGTTTTTTACCCCCGGCTCAATTTGGGTGTACGGAAATTTACACCTGACTTTGTAACCAATCAAAGCTCTTGTTACAAGCTACATAGGAAATAATGAACAATATACAAACCTTAGATGGCACTTCATGCCTGAATATACATTTGGGCTTCTTGCAAACATTGTTCTGTATGAACTGGAAACAGAATCCCTTAGGGATAAGGTCAGCCATTGTCTTGTTCCGTCGGAAGTCAATGTCTTCACATTCCTGTTAGACCGAGATGCATTAATAATCTCAAGTGCATTCCAAACCTATTTATTTCTAATCAATCAAAACATGTGCTATTTTAATTTCCTTAACATACTTGGATATGCATGGGAAAAAACAAAATTTGGAATTTTACAGTCACTTTTAAGGAAGCCATTCTACAATATCAAATGTCATGTCCGATGTAACCCGTATATATAGAGTAATTTCCATAACTGTCCAATTATTTAAATCTTAGTTTTTCCCTCTAAATTCCCAAAATATTTCAATCCAATTCACTTAGTACATGTATTGCAGATGAAATGAAATCACATAGGATTTAAATGCTTCTTTCAACAACTGAATCACAAAAATTCAAACTGCAGAAATATCCCATTATATGACATATCCTAAGAAACTTCATTAATAGACTTTCAGGAAGATTAGAAAGACAACTTACCACTGTGCTCTCTGTGACAATTACATTCCCTGTTTCACTTCTTTCATCTTTATGTGTCCTACAAAATTAATCACATGATCATGTTATATCCACTTGAACTTAGGTAATCTTGGTTGTTTCCCCCATTTTTTAACATCCAAACTGAACTGCTAAAGTTTCCATCAAATGCCCATAATTTACAAACTTTTTAACAGAAAGTCAAGAACTGAATACCCTATAATGTATCACTTTGACAGCAAATTAAATTAATACTGTAATCAATTTATTCATTCAATTTCTGTAGCTCTTACTGAGTAGCAGGCAATTCCTCTTCCCCCTCCTCCATCTCCTCTTCCTTTTCACTGGCATCTTCTTCTTTCTCTCCATATTCCTCCTCTTTGTCTTCACCTTCCTCCATGCTTCCATCTTCCTCCTCAGGTTTATCTTCCCAGATGTCTTCTTCTTTTCCCTCATCTTTCCTACTTCTACTCTCCTCTTCTTCCTCATCTAACCACGACTCCTCATCTGAGGCCAAAACGTTCAGGACATCCACATCTGTATCTATTGTTCTTTGCTTGTTTTTGTTTCTTCCGGAGTCCTCTGTCAAAACAAATAAAGATTTTCAAATGAAGATCCAGGCCATTTGCAGATTTCCAATCTTATCAAACATCATTAATGTTATTCTGACACCAGAAAGAAAACATATAAATAAACATTTTTTTAAATCATCAGCTTTATGATTCTTCCTTATCTTAATTTTTACTGAATCAACAAACCTTCATTTTCAGATTCTTGGTCGGACTCCTCAGAGCTTTCAGTATCCTCGCTATCAGAATTCTCACTCTTTTCTTCCTCCATGTCATCTTCCTCATCCTCAGATTGATCCTCCTCCCCCTCATTTACTTGATTCCAATCTTCAATCACTATCATGTCCTCATCTTTATCATTACCCAATGCCACAGCATTCTTAGCGTTATCGTCAGAGTGCCTCCCTTTTTCTTCCTCAGTAACACTATCTACATCCATGTGATCATCCGGGTGCTCGCTTTCCACTACTTCTACAGAGTCTTCTTCATTATTCTTGGTCTTACCATCTGCATCCTTATCTTTTGTTCTGTTATCACTTATTTCAACTTTCCTTTGAGGGTCTTTTTGTAATTCTGGTTTGGAACACATAATTTCACTGGAAAAAGTTTTAACATTATCTGGAATGTGAGACTGTATTTTAGTTGAGAGTGGAATGCTTGGCTTCAAAGGAGTGCTAGTGAATTTTGGAATGCCTCTCTTTTCCAGACCAACTTTTTCACCTTGATCAGATACTTCATTTTCATTCCATGCATCTATAACACAAAACACAAAGTCATACTTTTAAACAAAATTTTTTTTTTAATTTGGATGTTCAAGAATCTTTCCATATTTAACACAATTAAAAATTTACAACCTACATTTTCAGTTTAACTACAGAAGTCAGTCAGAACCCAAACATACCTGATTCCCCTGTACTGCTCACATTGGATGATACAACAGGTGGATTTTGATCATCTGTATCCATTTCACTTGCCACTGCTTCCTCAGTTGGTGAAGTGCCTGTTTCAGACCTGGCTTGCACCTCTTCAAGATACCTGTCAGGTGTGGTGCTATCAGGAGTCATTATGTCTTCTTCTCTCACACTGCTCAACTCCACTCTTGGTCTCTTGAAAACAGGATCTTCACCAAAGTCTGCTGCACGCTTGATGCCAGTGGAAGTGGATGGTTCTTCTGATCTGTAGTTCTTCAATGGAAGAGACAGCACTCCAGAACTTTTCTCTACTACTGGAGGATTTTTTATACTTGATGACATAATAGCATTGTATATTTCCTCTACAAACTGGTTTCCCAAACCCTCCTTCTTTGATGATGGCATGGAAATATGGCTACTACCAGTCATGCCCATCGAATATCCAACCCTAGATTTTACCTTACTCATGGATCCATCTTGTTTGGCCCCAAAACAGAATTTTTCTACATGTCCAATGTCTTGTAAAGGTGACTTCCATTTCATAGAAGTATCTACTTCAGCAGCTGTGGTTTTAGGAATTCTGAATGGCTTTGAAGAGTGCACTATTGATCTCCCTTGTATAGCTGCTGACACTTCCTCTCTTTCTGTTTTGTCTTTAGCCACTTTGGATAGAGAGCCAGACTTGTAAGGTGGTATTTTGCTCCCAGTACTGGAACTGGAGTTGGAACTAAAATCCTTTGGCGATTCAATTCCTTCCTCAGGACTCTCATTTCCAGTTTCTAGGTCATCTTCGTTTATAACCAACTCTTCATTTTCACCTCTAGACTGTTCCTTTTGCTGGCCATTTTTCTCATTTGGAGTCTTTACTACCACAGGCTTGGGCTTTTGTTGCAAGATTTCTGCAAATGAAGGCAACGGTTCCTCTACTGTTGGAACCAACTTCAGGTTTTCCAGTTCCTCTTCCCTAGCTTTATCTCTTAGAATCTTTTGGACAATTTTTGATTTAGGCACCACTGCTCCTATTTCTCTAGACTTTTCTTTGTCCTCTTGATCTCTCTTTTTTTTCTGATGTGTATCAGTGACTTTTGAGTGTTGAGATTTACTGACTTCTTCACCATCAACTCTGCCAAGCTCCTTTTCACTCTCTGCTGCACTATGCTTACGTTTCAACTTTTTATGCTTCTTCTTAGGTTCAAGAATGGCTCTCTCGAAATCTGTTAAAGGTGCTGCAGCTACATTAGGTTTCAGCTTCTTCTTCAGCTTAGCTTGAGTATCTTTATTTATAATGACATGTCCCTTCTTTATCCTTTTTGATTTAGATGACTTTGCATTATCTTTCAGTATTTCATGGTGTTCTCCTCTTGACTTCTTAAGTTCAGCTGTACTTGATGAAGTCTCTTTTTGATGGATTGCCAAAACATTCTCCCTGGGTGGAACCTGTTCAGAGATAGGACCTGTATTCTCCACACATCCTTCCGTAGTTGCACACGGAGTATTTTTTCCATCTTCTTCAGAAGCTACTGCACTTTCCCTAGTAATTTCACCTAGACCTTTATTCTGATTTTGAGAATTTTCTTTTCTCTCCATAATAGTAGTACTTGAATCAGGCATGTGCTTCTTATTCAGTATTCTCCAGGTATGTTTGTGAATCCTTTTCAAAATCAGGTCTTCAATTTGGATAGTTTCCTCAAGTTTCAACCTCTTAAGAATTAAATAGGCATTAACGTTATATCCTATTAATTTACTAATACCCTCTCTGATAATAGACAAAGGAAGAGAATACATGGTGTCCTTGTCATTACTTGCCGACAGGCCATCAGAGATGTTCACCTCTTGTTCTATGTTTTGGCCATCAAAGATGTCCACCTCTTTTGCCACTACCTCCTCTTCTTGTGGAATGCTATCCACTTCTTTACACTTTCTGTCAATATCAAAACTTCTGAATTCATCTTCTGGATGACATGTAGCCTTATGGTGTTTCAAGCTAGACTTCATGTGGAAGTTGATATCACATTTATGGCAAGGATATTTGGTTTTCTCCTCCTTCTTGATGAGGAAACTGGGCTCAGTGACCTGTATACTTGGTGCCTCTTTATCAGGATCTTCTGCACATTCCATCAAGGTTATCATACTTGCCAGAAGGTCCTGCTTACCAAAACTTCCTTCTACAATTGTGGAACACACAATTTCATCACTGCTGACTGCTCTAACTTCCAATGCTTTTAAAGGTTTTACAGATGTATTCTTTGGAACTAAGTCATTACAAACACTCAGGGTTTCAGGTAAAAACACATCTTTCTTGGGCTGAAACAGTGACAGAATGTTCCCATCTGTCTCGTCCTCTTCCATAGCTTTTCTTTTTTTTGCCTTTTTATTTTCTGATCTCTTTTCACTGACTTGTTCCTTCAAACTATTCAATTTTTCTTTGTTCACTGGAACAACATTGGCTGAATCAGCATAAATAACTTTGTTTTCATGAACGAAAAGAATCCTTGACTGGTTGTTAACAGTATCTGTCCTATCAACTACAGCCCTGTTCACTTTTACATTCTCGAACACCTCAGTTGTCAGCAAATCTTCCTCTTGGTTCTGTAGGCTTTTCACTTCATGGTCATCTGATTTTTCCATGTCTTCAGTGATAGTATCATTAATTTCATTATCTTGATGAACTAATACTTCTATATTCTTGACACCTTCTTGATCAGTTGAAGCTACATCCTGTTCAGCATCTTCCTGAACCTCTCTAGATTCTTTCTGCCTTCCTGGTTCCTCTTCTTCCATTGTTTGCTCCTTCTCTTCAGTAGAAACTCTGTTCTCTGTATTCTCACAAACCTTGGAAGCAATCTCTTTACTTTCTGACATTGGTTTCAAATTTTGTTTCAAACCAAGACATTTGAACAACCCATCTCTGTCATGATCTTCTGTGGTTTTAAAGGGTTCCTCGGTTCCATCTTTACTTATTTTTACAGGTGTTCTGTTATCTTCTTTATTACATGCTAATACAGAATCTGCTGAGCGAGATCTCCTTCTGGATGCAATGGGTCTTGATTTTTTCATTTTTTCTGACCTTTCAGAGTATACATTTTCTGCAGGCTGTGGTAGAGGTTCTCCAATGGTATCCCATAGAAGCTTCAGGTATTTTCCATCCACTTCATCTTCCAATTTATTTAACTTGATGATTGGCATCTTTGAACCTACCATCCTATTCTCAATCTTTAGTTTTCCTTCCAAATCTTTTTGAGAGCATGTTACATCTCGCTCAGAAGAAACATTTGGTAATTTTGCTTTCTTCTTTGATCCTTCACTTGGCTTTTTAGATTTCTTTGCCACTAAATCTTCATTTAAAAGCAACTGATCTTGTGCTGCTGCAGTTCTAGTTTTAGATGGACTCCAACTCCTTGTTCGTATGCTAGGTAAATTATTTTTTCCTGATTCTGCTTCCATATGCTCATTGTCACTGATCTCTCCACTTGTGTGACCTACAGAAGTGAATTCAGTTTCCACATGTCCTGTGGAAGTTGACTCTGCTTCCACAACTCCTGTGGTAATTGACTCTGTCTCCAAAACTCCTGTTGTGGTGGCTTCTATCTCCACAACTTCTATGGTAGTGGACTCTTTCTCCACAACTCCTGTGGCAGAAGCTGCTGTCTCCATAACTACTGTTGTGGATGTTTCCCTCTCCACTATTCCTGCGGTAGTGGATGGAGTCTCCACATCCAAGTCAGGTGATATTGTCTTTGGAGGTTTTAATCTACTGGAAGATCTCAGTCCACCTTTTCTCTCCTTAGGAACGGTAGCAGGTCCAAACTGTTGTGGAAAATGTATGGAATCTTCAATGTTCCTTTCTGGGGTGATTGGCACCTCTTCCCTAGAAACTGTTCTTGTTTTAACTTTCTTCAATCTTGATCTGCTCTTTAAAGTCTTTAATTTAGACTTCTTTCTCTTTGTATTTGTTGAGGAGGACTGTGCCATTTCTGCTTGAACTTCAGCTTGAACTTCGGCTTGAACTTCAGCTTGATCTTTTGCTTGAACTTTTTTAGTCTGAGGTTGCAAAGGAGCATGAGTCATTTCATCTAACTGATGCAAAAGCAGACTTTTTTTCTGTTTCAAGTTCTCGATCTTTAATTCCCGTTCCTCTTCAGTCTCATGTTGAACGAAATAGCTTCTTTCCTCAAGGTCTTTATTCATATTAGACACAATCTCTTGTGCTTCTTCTTGTTTCTTACTTATTTTGGCTGTCTTCCCATTTGGACCCAATTCTTTTTTATTTTTCCCTTCTTTCTGTTTTGGAGTTTTTATCTTTAATGTTCCACCCTCTTCTAACTCACACTCAATGCAAGAATCATTTTCCTCAACAACTTCATTGTTAGCATCTAGATCTTTTAACTCCTGATCATCATCTTTGTTTTTTAGTCTGGCACTCTTTCTTTCTGTTTCTGCACTAGGTTTTCTCTTCCTTAGAGATAACTTGACTTTGATTGCCCGAATTTTGGATACTGCAGTGTTTCTCTTTAAGTAAGGCTGAGAAGTGGTTTTTTTGTTCCTCGATATTCCTCCTTGTGCAACAGCTTTTTTCACAGCTTTGCCTGACCTTAAAATTTGCTTTGCACTTAAAATTGCTCTTTGTGATGAAGAATCTTTATTTGGTTGTTTTTCAGAAAGATTTTCTGTTAACAATTTTCTCAGAAGGAAAGGACGTTTTCTTGGACTTGTTTTCTTTGGACTTTGTTGCTTTGACTTTGATGATGATTTTTTGGGACTGGTCTTTTCTTCATCTACAGCCGATGATTTCTTAAAATTTTCATCACTTTTTGACAAACACTGAGAATTCTCATCGGTATTTGATAATTCCTCTGGAAATTCATCACTGTTAGATGATTTTGATGATGTTGGAGTACTTTCAATATTATTTACTGGTTCTGCAACAGTACCAGTCTTTGTATTTTTATGACTCTCTGTTGTGGGTAACAAGGATTTTGAGCTGCTTTGACTAGAGGATGATTCGGAGACTGTAGTATGTTGATCACCAAGTGAAGGCTGTAATGCTGATACATGCTGACCAGAGAGGATTGTCTGAGACAACACAGAGGAGCTGGCTAGAATCTGCTCCTCTTGTCCATTCTGTGATCCAAACCTTACATTTTTGGACTTGAAAGATCTCCCTTTGCCAAAAAGACTCTTTGAACTATATTTACTTGAAGCATATTTGGTCAACTGTCTTTGCGGTTCCTTTGTGTCTGATTCATCAACCTTGATCAGCTTGACAAATGGAGAATATTTGGAAGGTGAATTGCTAAGGTAATTTGGAACATTAAAAGTAACTTGTTCTGCAGCTCTATTTTGTGGTGGAGATTTCTCTCCCTCACTACTGGTATCATCATCTATTCCAACACTGACTGCTTTCACCTTGTCTTTATCGCACTTAGTTACTGATGGCCCAATAGGGTCTCTGCTGTTGGTACTAACAATTGCAGGCCAAACATCTCTATTCTCATCTTTTGATGATGGCCCAGCATGATCTGTTTTGTCTTTCATTTGGTCATCAGTAACAAAAGCTGTGTTCAGAGATGTTCTAGTACTACTATACTTCTTGACTTTATTTTCTGTTGTCTTGGACACTACTCGCACATCGTTACTTGTATCTGCATTAACAGTTATACTGAAGTTTTTAAAGTGCTGGATGGTCTTCTTGGGACTTGCTGCGTCTAACAGACGAATTGGTCCCTTTTTTCCAGCCGAATTTGTCAAAACCTCAGTTACAATATTTTCATCAGAGACAGTAGTATTTTTTGAAATTTGATTTGTGGTATGTAGGTCTAGATAAGCTAAATGTGACTGATAACTTTCAACTGAAGAAGACTTCGCTGAGTAGCTTCCACCAGGGTCAGACTTGCGTTTTTGTTTTCTATTTTGCTTTTCAGCACTATATTCAGAGTCTGTGAGTGAGCCCCCAATTGAACAGAAGGATTTTTTGTTATTTGCAACCTTGTTATTCCTTTCATAGTGAACTTCTTTCAAGTGCCTTCGCAATCCTTTATTATGAGTGGATCCTCTGAACACACTTCTACAATATGGACATTCACTTGTTGTCATCTTTCTTGCTTCATCCACACTAACAGTGCTGTACGTTGTATCAAAATGATCTTCTTTATATTTTTCCAAATGCTTTTTAATATTTCTTTCACTTCGAAAAAGAAGACCACAATTACATATCGCCCATATACTAGTATCCGTTTCACAATTCACAATGAGGGGAGATTTGGCTGGAAGCTGCATTTTCCCTAACATTTTGGCTTCTCTTTTCTCAAGTACTTCTTTTTGTATGCTGGAACTTCCTGAACCACATGGTCTCTCACAATGCATACATTTGGCACAGTCTCCACTACCAGCAACTGGATTAGAAGCAAGGCTTTGCAATTCATGCTTGTGAAAGTCAATATAATGCCTCCTCATTGTCCAAAAGTTACCGAGTGGCTTATCACAAAATCTGCAGTTGAATGAGGTGGAATTGAGACACACTGTGCAGGTCTGGTCAACTTCAACATCACAGCTCTCGTCTTCCTCCTCATCTGTTGTTTCATCATCAACAGTAAGGTTAAATCCAGTTTTCTCACACAATGTTGCATCTTCAACAGACTGTTTAATGACATGCTGCTTATTCCAGTGTGTTAACCAACTCTTCCTGTTCTTGTAAGATCCCGAGCAAGAAGGACAATGAACTCTTTCCACTATATGCTCATCATCAGTTTCAGTCATTGAGTCCTCACTTTCAGAGTCTACAAGTGGTATTCCATGTGGAAATTCTGATTGGTGTTTCTTGTGACACCTTGCAAAGTGAACTGTGCACTTGCTGCTCACAGAACTCTCTTTGTTACACTCGGACTTTCCCCCTTTCTTTCTTGATGACTCATTCTGCTGTTGCTTTTCCAATTCTTCATCAGTTGTATTTCCATCATCAGGAATGTATATTCTGGGAACCTTGTGGTGCACCTTCTTGATATGCCTACGTAGATTATACATGTTGCTGTATTTGCATGAGCATATTGGACATATTGGTGGTTCACTATTAGCAGTTCCCACTCCAGGTTTAGCACATATATATACTTCTTTACTAGGTTTCCTTTTCTGTGAGGAAATACGTGATTTCTCATTACTGGTTTTGTTTTCGTCCTCGTCATTTTCACTATCTCTTTCACTTTTCTGGTGATATTTTTCGCAGTGAAGGTTGTATGATGAAAGACTCTTAAATTTTTGTAGGCAAATAGAGCACCAAAATTCCGATCTCACCTCCCCATCCTTAGTCTCTGTTAATTGAAGGTTTTTTCTTGTACTTTCCACAGTATCTTCTTCGACCAGTTTCTCCCGATGTTTCTTTCTGATGTGCTCTCTGTATGACTTGACAAGCCTGTATTTCCGTGGACAAAAAGCACATTGGATTTTTTCCGTGTCTGAATCATCTCCGCTTTCATCAGCACTGAGTTCCATGGTCTGATTTTTGTGACGTTCTTTTTTGTGTCGTTCTAATGACTGTCTGTGTTTATACCTCTTGTTACAAATTTCACACGTTTCGTTTTCCGTACCATCAGGAAGTCTTGTTTTCACCTGTGTTCTTCCCCGGTCCCCTTGGTCTAGCTCCTGCGTCTTTAATTTCTGCTGTTTAGTTTCATGAACAGTGTTTTCTTCACCAGGGTTTTCTGTGATAGACATACGTCCCTTGGGTCCATGCTTTTTATGCTTGGTCCTCTTCCGCAAGGTCCTATCTGAAGTCAGTTCTCCATCACTTTCACTATCAGTAAAGTAATCTGAAAATAACGACAGTAAATATGTTGCAGATACTTTAGATAAAAGTTGCTAAATTCATGATCTTTGCAGATACTTTAGATAAAAGTTGCTAAATTCATGATCTTTAAAATGGTTTGGGTCTCAGTAAGAAAAGTCTGACTCTGTTGAAAATTGTGGTCTATGTCTACTTTAGACTAAAACAACTTTGATGCTGAGTAATTATGTTGCTAACTCTAAGTGCTTATCTATTCAGTAAGTCTAATATATGAATCAGCCTTAAAGAAATACAAAATTTTGATTGCATAATACATAACTTAATGGCATGAGCACCACAAATATAGTGGTGCCGCGTTAATCCGGACACCAATAATCCAGATGTTGCAACTTCAGGACAATATTTTTTGGGAACCGATTTTTTTCCCCATGTTATTCTGTCTCACAAATTTTGAAATCCGCATTTGGTATCAGACAGTAATATTTCATTGAAAAGTGACTCGTTTATCCAGATGGAAAATTTTCCTGGAACAACTTTTTCACACCTATCTTGCAATAGTGATAATTTTTGTATAAACATTAGCCATGCATGCAGTCAGTTTGAAGGCTGTTACTTAGTCTATAATTATATTATAATTATAATTAGTATGTGTTTACCCCAAATTAAATATACGTTTATTATTTAATCAAATAAGAATCTGTTCAGAATCATACTGCAAATGCTAAATAAATTTATGAGAATTTGGAGAGTTGTAAATAAAATGAACAATATCTCAAGAGCGCTTTGGTAGTGGTCTTTAATTACAAAAGTTTAACAAAATACGATTTTCCATTTATCAAAACATCAATATATTTGAAACGTTTTTTTTTAAATAGACAGTTTAAAAAGGTACGGAGTTTCTTTCAAAATAGACTTACCTCCTGAGTGCTGAATGAACTGTTAGCGATATACAATTTTAGCAATCTACACACCCTTGCTAATAATGCCAAAATTGAATCCTCGCTAAAAATTCTGCTTATACGGTATCTTTTTTTTAAAATTAAAATTATTTCTTTTAAAACTATAAGAATAAAATCAATAAACCAAAGTATTAAAGTTTTATTTTCTTTGCCTTCACATTTGATACCAAATATGTACATAATTTGAGAGGGTTCTTTGAAAAGCGATTCACTTAAGGGGATGAAGGACACATGGTCACATGACTCTGTTTAACTACGTCATAGTCTCCGTTTATATAAGTGCAAAACGTGTAAAGCATCAGTTCTTGTATAATTTTTTGACATTTTTTTCTTTAATTACCATCTAATATTAAAAAAAAATGAAAAGTTTAATATTCTTCTAAACGTTAACAAATTATGAAAAAGATTGATCCACTCCTCTGTTACCCTACACTGCGTGTCCAATTCGTCGGTGACGTCATACACGATCTGTTAGTACAGCAAGATCATACTCGGTGAATATACAGGGGCGGTATTATTATATAAAAACAGGTCATAATCAGTATATGATGAAATATTTTGAGAAACGGGGAGCACAAAAATTATTTTTGCATGGCTAATGACGGAAATCTTATGTAGGTATATCTTATTTTGCTTATTTAGCTTACGTGTGACGTCATAGATGGTTTTTCCCATACTCGAGAAATGTAAACATGACACGTTTTTATCATGCTTATGTCCTCTTTAACGATGCCCTGTGCAATATTGAGGTCAGCTTCACCATTCGAAATTTTTACAGTTAATCAATAATTAGAAGGACTTGCATTTCAATGTAAATTTAAAAATATTGAATGATAGAATTTTTTGTGAATTACATTTTTTGTTGTTATGTTGTCTTAAAAAGTTCGTAATTTTCCCTATCCGATGCAGTGTGATAGAAGAAACTTGCTTTTTCGAATTTTAAACCCTATTCAAACTCTAAAATATTTTAAAAGATACATATTCACTTACATATTTTTTATATATGCTTTAAAAAGTCCCATTATGGACAGAGTAAAAAGCCCGGAAACGTGGAGAATTAAAACTCCACTTAGATACTGTAGGGCATAGTATTTGTCAATCAATATCTCTAAAATAAGGTAAGAAACCTAATGATATAACTGCTTTAAGATATGTGGGACATACTTAATTAGAAATATACAAAATACAAAAAAAAATTGAATGAGAAGTATTTTTTCAGCTAAAGGTCCTTCTTCCCCTTAAATGGATGATTCATTTATCCAGACGATTTCACATGGGATGGAAGTGTCCAGATTAACAAGGCACCACTGTTTATTTAATTAAACAATTCTGATGAATTTTTGTCAAAAAGGCCCACTTGATCTATACTGTAGGTAGGCTAAATACAACAAAATTGATATGCTCTTTGCAATATGATGTCTAACTATTTTATTTTATTTGACTTACTTTTTTCTTCTCTCATTTTTTCCAAGCTGACTGTAACTGCTTTTATTCTTTCCATTTCTAAAATTGAAAAAAAAAGACACTATCAACTAATTGTCAGTTCTCATTAAATAGTTTGGATGAATATCTACATTGTGTCTCATGTAATATTAATAGCCTATAAATGTACATCACTTTAGAAAAGTCTAATATATTATTTATAGTTATACTGAAAACTGTAGGAGGAGTATTTCACAGAAATTTCATGGCAATACTGTTCATCAAAATCAAAAAACAATACAATTATGTATCATAGTCTATTTGTGTGCCAAGTTATACTGAAATCAGACCAAAACTGTAAAAGGAGAAGCGTTTTGAAAGTATTTCACAGAAATGTAAATTTTAGTAATCATGGCAACACCGTTCATCGAAATAAAAAAACGATACACAGAATTATGTACCTTAGTGGGCACCAATACCGAGAACAGGTGGAAAGAGTTAATTTAAAACCATTAAAATTTAACTGTACAGTAAACTTGGAATATTTAAAGGGCAACTTTGACATATATATATATATATATATATATATATAAAGCACTAAAAATGACCAACGACACGAACAATAATAATTGTCAAATTTTCGGGACAACCTGTCCCTTCCTCAGGACAAAGAAAAAAGTTAAGAAGTCATAAAAACAAAGGAAATAGAGAAGCAAAAACAACTAGCACTACTACTAAACTACCAAACACTAAATATTTACAAGGTTACATGTTTAATTTGGAGTTTATAAACAGTTGTGAACAAAGAAATCCGGAGCGCTATGAATTGCATCCGGTCTATCGGGCCCGATAGACCGGACGCAATTCATAGCGCTCCGGATTTCTTTGTTCACAACTGTTTATAAACTCCAAATTAAACATGTAACCTTGTAAATATTTAGTGTTTGGTAGTTTAGTAGTAGTGCTAGTTGTTTTTGCTTCTCTATTTCCTTTGTTTTTATGACTTCTTAACTTTTTTCTTTGTCCTGAGGAAGGGACAGGTTGTCCCGAAAATTTGACAATTATTATTGTTCGTGTCGTTGGTCATTTTTAGTGCTTTATATAAATTCCCATCCGTGACCTTGTATCTACTTAGTAGATCCGACACTTCGGATATACAGTGTTGTTGGTTTTTAGTGCTTTTTATATATATATATATATATATATATATATATATATATATATATATATATATATATATATTTTTTTTTTCTTCTTTATACATATTATTTAAGAAATAAGGTATCATTTTAAAACATCTATCGGGATATAAATATGGGTTGGTCACGAGATCAAATTCCAAAAAGCCCAAAGGGCTTTATGATAAATTTGATCTCATACCAACCCGTATTTATATCCCGATAGATGTTTTAAAATACCTTATTACTTATATTTACATTTGTGACTTATTCATATTATATATTAACCTGATTATAATTTTTAACTCGTGAAATGTTCAATTTTTCAAACTCAATGGCATGTGTTTCATCCATTGATTGTGCGTCAACCCTTTATGACGTCACTGAGAAATTACGTCGAACGTTTATGACATGAGGAACCCGTGTTTATACGAATATAGATATGCGTTGCTTTCAATAGTGTTACATAAAAGAAAACATTTGCAAATGTAAATATATAAATAACATTACTCTTGTATTGAATATTTACATAATAACCAACCTCAAGATGAATTCCAATGTGGCAGAATTGCAGTTCAGGTTAGACCTGCAAAACAAAATGTTTTGTCTTTTAATCATTAAACTTCTTAAAGAATTACTGGGCAAATTAGGTAGCATGGTACACTATATTACGGATATTACCATTCATAGCAATGAAGCTGAGAAAATAAACTTCCTGATCAGTAAGGACTCTTATCAAGTTGAAAAAGGAATAAATCTCAACCCAGAAACACTCATAACCTATTTTGCTGGTAATTATATACTAGCGGAAAAAGAAACTGTTAAGTAATTTTATTTATAGAATCATATACACAAAATATTATGTTGCAAAATGTATATCATTATTTTATATAATGCACTTTCATTTCAAACATCAAAAATATAATGCACTGTCTTTCAATTCAAACATCAAATTACAGATTATGTCCTTTATGGTTGATTATAATAAACAGCCACTGAAAATAAGGCGGTTGCAAGAAAGTTTCAGGTCAATCTTAATAGCATGTATGACTCCCATTTGCAATGATGCATTCTTCACACCTACGACACATTGAATGAATCAGGTTATTACACAAACGTGACGTCCGTATATACGTATATTGCTGACGTGACGTCACACACGGGCCTGACAGTGGGCGGTGCCAACAGCGCCACTTTGCTGACATCATCTCCATAAAGCATTTACAGTGTCAATATGAACTCCAAATTGCCTTGCTTCACTGCTTTGAGACATCCCAGCTTCCAGCATCCCAATAGCATGCAAACGATCATTTTCAATCATGCGAGGCAACAAACTGAGTACTCACATGTTTAGTATATTAAACTACTATTAGTATGCTTTAAGAATAAGGATTGATCAGAGTACATGTATACTTTTTATGTTCGTTTTTAACTTTGAAGTAAAGACAGTTTTTTATCTTCTAGTATACATTGGATAGTAACTCTCTATCTGAAATAATGAGTAAACTCCAGGGTTTTAATACACAGAAGTTGAATGCAAAAGTTATGAAAACTAAAACTGTCCAAAAGGGACAAATACCCCCCGCTGGGTTTTTCAGAGAAGGTACCAAATCACTAATGTTTTCTAGATGTGAGAGGTGTTCACAATTTGCTTAAACATTTAGAGTGAAAATTTAATTACAAATTATTTTTTTTAATGAATGAAACTAAGGTGCAGCCTAATAAAACATCAATGCTAGTAATTTCAGTATTTTTTAATTACATTGAAAAAATAGTTGCAACTGTCATCTTTGTGAGACATATGACACTCTGCATATTGATTGTTGAAAAAAAAAATATCATAATTAATTATACAAAATCAAATTGATCTTAATACCTTTATATCAAACTCATTTTAAAAATAAAAAGCTGGTTCCAGTAACTATGTATTTTGACAGACATAAATTACAATTAAGAGACTTAGACAGCAGAGATCTTTATTTCTTTCTGCCCAATTCCCAGGAGATATAGATAAGACTTGCTTGATCAAAGATGCCCTAACAGCTTCCCACACTGAACTCATTAATTAATCTTTAACTGGATGTATGTCCACTCATTACTCCAAAGGGACAAATGGATTTACACTATCTGCTGTGTCATGTAAAAACTGTTTTTAATACTTTGTGATTTTTTTTTAGTTCTAATGAGTAGTTTTAAGCTGTAGTTCACATTTTTGTACAGATGTTCTAGATTCTATGTCTCAAACCTTAGACATGAACCTGAAATGACCAAGTCAATAAAAATGAAAAAAAAAACACCTGTAAAATGCAGAAAAATTACCAAATAATGTTGAAAATACCAGGTGGACATCTTCATATGGTAAATAATAAGTGTACAAATTTTCATACAAATCTATGCAATAGTCTCTGGGAACAGATCTGGACAAAACCACATAATAAAAATAGAAAAAACACCTGTAAAATGCAAAAAAATTATCCAATCATGATGAAAATACCAGGTGCACACCTTCATATGGCGAAGAAAAAGTGTACAAATTTTCAGACAAATCCTTGCAACAGTTTCAAAGAAATGCTCTGGACAAAATCTCGTCTACAGACAGACGGACAGCTAGACAGACGGACAGACAGACGGACAAGCTGATTCCAATATACCCCCCCTAAACTTCGTTTGCGGGGGGTATAATAATATGACTAATAACACTGTTATTTACATATTTCTGAAGTGGGAGGAGTACCCTAACAGAATCAATTACTATGCCATTCCCAAAGTAATTAAAATTAAATCTTTGATCCGCTCCAACTACATCTGTTTGGAGTGGATCAAAGATCTAATTTCAATTAGATTAGTGCAATTTCAAAAGATAAATGAACCTTTAAAATTCTTTCAAAATATTCTACAATGAAAACAATGCTAATCAAAAACCTCCACTGAAATACAAGAAACATTAATAAAAACATGTACATCATATTTACCAGGAAATGAGATAAACGTAAGCTGGATAAAAAATGATAACGATCTTGATTATCCAGGAAAGCCTGGATTAGTACAAAGCTAGTTTATTTTGTGGTCCTCTAGGAAAACATGTGTAAACAGACAGAAAATGGCAAAGGATATAGATGAAAAGATTGGGGAAAACAATAAAAGTAGTGTTTTTTTAAAATTTCTTTCATGATTAGATAAAAAAAAAAAATCTGTTTTTTTAAGGAACTATAATACTACACTACAGTCAACGCGGTTTCCGTATTTACCGCGAGTCCTCACAGTGTGAAATTGATCGCGGTTTAACACAGGTAACTCAGGTAAAACCGCGTGTTCTCGCGGTACGGGTCCTCAACTAATCCACACCATCGCGGTTTGTGTTATCCGTCTCAGGTAAAAAAATTATTCTCTTCATGAACGCGAGTTACCTCCCCCGACGGAAAAAACAGAACAAGAATGAATAGAAGTAAAAAAAAAATATTAAAAGGATAAAACCAGTCTTAGCAGTTATTTAGGTCTCCCTTTTTATATTTGATTAATTTATCTTTTTACTTATTTCACACCTCTTTCAAAAATAAAAAAAAAAACAAAAGAAAAGGAAAGGAAAGAATGCATGATATGGAGACAACTAGATATATATATTGTGTGTTCATTTATTGTTCGTAACTTATTCGTAATTATACATATGTATTAATTTTGTAGATCACAGTTATTGATCATCCGATAACTCAATGATTTAATTGTCAATTGAAAACAACTTTTCCATCATTTAACCATTTTGAATAATTAAAATAGTCGCAATATTTGAAAAAAAGGCGCTCAGAATAAAATCCTCAAACGAATAGATATTTTTTTCTGTATTACTTATTAATAATTCAAGTGTTCTTGAAAATTCTAAACTTGAGAAAGTACGTATGAACAT